CTGTAGAAGAAGAGAAGTGTAGTGTTCCCTGTTACAGAAATGCTCTATACTTAAAGATGTGTACTAATGTACTAACACTTTGAAGCCCAGTGTATATCACGTGTAACAACTACTGTGATAGCTATCCAATCATGTGCATTCCTCCTGTAGATTGTGTTTTTGTGTTCTTATGTATTTCTCAATTAACAGCTGTTATGTACATAAACGCTGATCACGGTGGCCGTGAGGTCTAAAACATGAAGGGTTTTTGCTTTCTCGAAAACTGGGATCGTGGGTTCGAATCCCACTCAAGGCATGGATGTCTGTTTGTGTGTTCATTCTGTGTTTGTTTTGCCCTGTGTGTAGGTAGCGGCCTTACGACGGGCTGATCACTCGTCAAAGGAGTCCTGCCGTCTGTGTAAAAACGATTACAAAACTGAAGAAGAGACCAGGGTCCAGCAAAGGGCTGTAGAGCCATTGTTGAAAGAGTGACTTTACCTAAACAACATTAATCGGCTGGTCTCTTTAGCGGAGACGTAATGTTTCCTGTGAGGTACGAACTGAATTGCTGTGTGGCCTATTATTCGGACGCATTTCAATTTTTGAACGGTTAAACTCTGGTACAGACTTTCTTATTCTCTGTTAACCTAGCGTCGGGACAGAAATGAAGCGTCAGAGTTAAAGACCGAGTGTCTGATAATGTGACGCCTGATCAGGGTCATCAGGGGATGATGACAGATGAATATGGAACAATGATGGAGTGGTGATTAGAAGGGGAAAACTCTTAGATAGACTTATTCAGCTACATTTCATCCACCACGAATCTCATATGAAGTCACGAGGGGTGGAAAATTTGGCTACCCGGTGAGGAGTCCGTGCATAACAGCCTGAATTATGGTCCGACTGTCAACCACAAATCTCACACAACCTAATCGGGGTTTGAACCCCGGCCGCCGCTGAGGAGAAGTCGGCGTTTAACCGCCTGAGCTATGTTACGACCTGACTAGACTACCAATAAACAAATTTACACCACTAAGTGGCATTTGTACTGGCACGGTCCCCAGGTTCCCTTCGAGTATAGACCTCTGGAGGTGTGGGAGACTTACGGAGCTGCATGTCCAAGGGTACCGTGGATATATGGTACCTTGCTGCCGTCTGTTTCTGTATTGTGACTAGAGACGGGGTATGGATTGGTGAATGGATTTAATGACCACTTACAATGCCATCGCTAATTTTCACACTTTGCAAATCACCACAGCTCCCGATAAGCCTCTTTCCAGTCTACTATGTCTTCATCAGCCATTCTCTGGCAACGTTTTCTAACAGTGGAGTTTCTTCAACTTCACGCGTTCAGGTGCTATCTTCACAGACTCTCGTGCAGAACCCCTATCAATTGCACTGGATCACCATCTCTTCTCAGCCTCCTTTGCAGAGCTCAACTGAACTGGTTGCCCAAATTTTCTTCTTTATAACTCCTCGGTGCGGACTGAATAGAAAGCACCGTTTCCAACATTAACTCTACTTTTGTAGAGGCGTGTTTATCTATCAGTTGCTTAGAAACGGGTTGCATAACACCGTTCTTTTATTGTTGCTAGCGTGTATGTTGCGGGCGTTACCTAGCAACGGCCTTTGTTTACAGAATAACTGCTTAACAACAGGTCTGTGCGCCACAGTATGAACAGGAAACAAACGTAGGCGTATGTGTGGATTTAGTACTGTCTGATATCGTGACAGAAAATAAAATGACTCGCAAAATTTAAATTATACGAAGTAATTCATTTGTAATGTAACTGCTAATTCGCTAACTAAATTCTTATTCAGTGACAAATTTACTGGCTGGCAAATCCATTTTTTCCATGTATACGGCCACTTTATCCAGTAATTGAAACAAAGGGAATAAAATGCGCTTCGAACTCCTAGCAAAATGCAAAGGCAGGATTGTCCACAGGCACTTACAGAACTGTTGCCATCTTGCGGGATACTTTAAACTGGGCCGTACAACTAACTGCCTGGGCTCAATGGAGGCTTTCTTAAAAAGCTGATAGTCGCTCAGTTAGGTACTCAAGGAATTCCCCGCCTTTTATGGAGCCCGTCACCGGACCATATTTTGAACCACATAATTTCAATCCCTTCCCACGCCCCATATTTCTTTAAGAACATTTTAATATTATTCTCCCATAACGCCTAAACTCTTCTAAGTGGTGTGTATTCAGAATTCCCCTTCGCGGTTGAATGAAGAACTGCACATTTTTTGTGCTTCACACGAAGGCAGTTCGCCTTCACGGCTTAGAGCCTGCAGGATTAAAGTCACGTAGACCTATCCTAAAAATTGTCTTAATTTGAAAGTTGTTTTGGCAACACTGTAGGCCTGGTTGAGGTTTTGTGCGTTAGAACGAGGAGTGAGATGTGCCGAACGCTTCAAAGCAAAGAAAGGAAACTCAGTAGCTCACCTGTACGCCCGTCATTCAGGCTTGTCCCCTGCTCTGACACGAGAATGCAACGTGCGAGTTGAGCCAGCACTGAACACATTTGAACTTCTAGAAATGAAATAAAATAAGCAACTTTAATGCAGAAAAGTAGAATGAAACTTAACTCACGCTTTGATTTTGACATAATCACCAATGATATTGCTTAAGATTACCAGCTTTAGAATTTCGCTTTCCCACTGAGGAAAATTTGCCCCGTGTCTAATTAATTAAGCACCACGCCATGAATAATACACGTGAATGGAGGTATAGCTCCACCATTCTTGGTCTCTGCATTAGATGAAGGTGAGTGGTCAGCTTCATTTCCTGTACGCCCAATCTTGACGTTATGGAGAAAAGACTTCTTCTTCTACCGGGAGTCGAACTTCACGTCCTCAGTCATCCAGCCTGTAGCATAGTCAGCATAGCGACTGAGCTACCCAGGCTCCCCGTTTCTCCTCGCAAGGAATTGGCGCGAGAACGCCGGTACAATTCTTCAAGTTCATGTTATTACATTTTAAACATGCATTGGAGACTTTTACCATTTACTGATTTTGCTCCGGAAATTTAAGGACACAGGCCCCTTATATCCTCCCTTTCCTTCTCAGATGCATGTAAATGGTTCACTTACTACGGACTACACAATGGCGTTATAACCCAGAAGGTAATAATCCTCAAGATTTTCATAAATTGTCTGTTAAAGTTTAAACACGTGATGGAACTTAGAAAATCCGACAACCCTTGGCAGCTGTCCACTTTGAGCCTTTCCTTGGCACAGCTCTCAACCAGAACTTGCACTTCTTTCGGAAAGAGTTAGGTAGAAGAAGCAGTTCAGAAACTGAGCCTGCTTTTCAATAAATCGGACTATAATCTGTCGGCATAACAAATGTTCAGGGTCTAGGCCTCCATGTGACAGGGGCGCTGACCGACGGAACGGAAAGGAGAACATCCACAGAATAAAAGAAATTGTAAGAAGTCCCCAAGTAATTAAGAGTCAGGATAGCTCAGTCTCTGTAGCGACGGACTGGACGGCCAGGGTTCGGTTCCTGCCAGGGCCAAGAGATTATTCTCTACTCCACAGCGCCCAGACCGGCTCTGGGGTCTACCCGGTCTCATATGGAATGGGTAATGTGGGCGCTTTCCCCGGAGGCATGAACTGACCACGCACCTGCAGCAAGTTCCGAGGTCAAGATTGGTGGAACTATACCTCTACTCCCCTATTTGTCTTCATGGCATAGTGTTTAATTAATTAAGAAGAGGGACGACTTCACCTTGCCTAAATAATTAGTTACTGAACTATGTAACCAATACATCAACCAATTCCTGAGTCAGTGACTAATTCATTAAGTCTTCCTCGGGTAGTTAAGGCAATTGTTCATTTCACCGAGTAATTCGCTGATATGAACCCTGAAGGCCGGTAAAAGTGGTCGCGCCGTCCAAGGCATGAACTGTCTTAACCTCATCAAACACTGCGATCGTGGGTTCGAATCCCACTCAAGGCATGGAAGTCTGTGTGTTTGTGTTGCCCTGCGTGTAGGCAGCGGCCTTACGACGGACTGTTCACTCGGCCAAGGAGTCCTACTGTCTGTGTAAAAGAGATTACGAAACTGAAGAAGAGGCCAGGGGCCCAACAAAGGGATGTAGAACCACTGATGAATGAATGAATGAACGAATGAACCCTGCAGACTGTCGCTGTAATCACATTGTCCCCCACGCTGAACCCTATCATGACTCACGTGACAGAGGATGCAGGTTTCAGTACGTGTGTGTAACGAAGTAATATATAGATTTGGGGGGGGGGAGACACTAGACATATTAAGATAAGTCTTAAAGTAAAATGGCTTGAGGACGTGTAGCCGATTCATCTGTCTCAGAATTTGGACCGGTGGCATATTCTTGTGAATACAGTAGTGAAGTGTGTGGTTTCAGAACGGGTTGAAATAATTTGACTAATTGAGTGATTAAGTTACTTTACTAGGTTCTAAAGACGAACTCTGCTTCACGGAGTGAGTTAATTGGTGGTTAGGAAATGCAAATACAGGACAGTTGAAGTGGCCTTATGCTGAATCTCGTGGAAATCGGTCACTCAATTGCTCTAAACCGTTTATCTTTGTAGCGCAGACGTACTGTGCTTACTGTGACGTACGAACTATATATTTATATATATTTTAGAATGAATTCAGTTTTTAAAAAATCCTTATTTACTGTGGCATTAGATGGGGCTGTAGATGGTCTGAATTCCTGTTGACAGCTTTTGTCTGTGAGGACTTTGACAGTTACCGTCACGCACTTGTTAACAGCAGGAAAAGTTCCGAAATTTGAAAAGAATTAAATTCCATATAAGAAAGATACATCTTAATCCCTAACCACGGATTGATATCCTTAGCGTTAAGTGACTGATATCATTTCCCCCTCTGGTAGGCTGTGGCTTATTATACTCTACACCAGTAGGCGTTGTCTTTGGACGCCGAAAGCAGCCGATGGTGCCCGAAGCGAGCGAATTGTATGACGGGCAGAGCGAGGCAGTTATCCAGCCGTTAGTATTGCGCGGTGGCTCATGCGCGTGGTAGGCTGCGGGTAACACCTCGATCGGTCGGACGGACGAACGGAATTGCGAACCAGTAGTGGCTGCAGCTGCAAACCAGTTACACACCGCACTTAATAGGAAATTGGATGTTAATTTACTTTATCTACTAGTCATCAATATAGAGTCATTTAGAACCAATCAACAGGCTCATTTAAATACAAGAAACATCAACGGAAGTGTTGTAACAAGTGCTTTTTGTTGCTGTATTTATCATTTGAAATGTTCTGCGTGTGCCGGTATTGTGCGATACGATTAATCGACCGAACATAAATTGAAATAATCGAACGAGCCGACTCGAATAGTTATGTTTCATCGTGCCAGTTGTCAGTGATATTTCGTCTACACGACAAATCATATGCAGTGAATAAATGGGGATTTTAAATTGCACTTAATTGAAGGTATGTTGTGTTTTCTGCTTTTTAGACTTGTTCGACCGGGTGATTTATCTTATAGCTTAATGAAGCCATTAGTGTTGTACAGGTGTTTCGTTTGTTCTTAGTTTTTATGGAAAGAGTCCTTTGCAAGATCCATGCATAACTAGGCGGATGCTATTAAAGTGGATCTTAAAGAAACCGGACACAGGACAAGTTGGCTCAGGTAATAAAGCTTCTGACTTGTTTTCCGGAGATGCCTGGTTCGAATCTTGGAAAACCGACTGTCTTGTCTGAAGTGTTTACCAGTTTTCCTCAGTCCCTACACAGAAATACTAAGACAACACTTTGAAATAGGCCACGACAGCCCCCCTCCACGTCTTTTAGAAGTCGTAATTCATTAATCGCACGGCAAATCGACGCTGTAGGCCCGTACTCTGAGCTACTAAGAGAATTGTTAAGTAAACCATAAATATAATATTATAAAAAACTTTAAAAATATATGGCAAGTTGGGGACCCGATTCATCGGGCCTCAGAGTAGGGAACAGTGTCGGGCTTTTGTGGAAACGGTAACGAATTTTCTGGCTCTGTAAATGAGTGGGAATTCCTGGAGATGAGTGCCTGCTCTTGGAAGTGACTGCTCCATGGATCAGTTACGCGTTCTTATCTGCGTACAAAGAGCTTACGACGCCTGCCAGATGGCTAGACAGGGCCTTCGTCTTCAGGAACGTAATGTTCAATATTCCAGCAGAGAACTATTACTGGTAACGGTTTAACACTGGAGGCTACGCCCCTCTTGTGGGTACCTAGCGATGCACGCAAAGTTCGCTCTTATCGGCTGCGAAGTTTTATCAGGTTCTTTGATTTCCCGTTTGTCTGTGGGAGCCCCATTTTACCAGCGAGCGTATGCATATGTTATCTCGGAACTGATGGTGGGTAGCACGTGGCTTTCGTTATATCGCACTGCAAGTCTGTTGAAATTCCTTGCTTACGGGTGTGCAAGTGAACGAAATGGGGAGAGAGAAGTAATGTTTAAAACATCCGTAATCAGTTCGTGTGATCGTTTAGAATCTTTGTTCAGTGAATTCATGCATATTCTGAAACAGAACGAGAAACTGCGGATGATGTAGACTTACATTACACGTTCATAAAACAAAAAGTAAATCTATCCCTGTAAGAGGCCGTGGAGACACATAGGGTTGTGAGTTGTTGAGGGTCCCACATTTTCTCTAGACAATACGCTCACAGATGGTGATGAATTTATGAGCCTTACGCTCCGGCCGCTCTTTACCCCGAGGAAGATTAAAATTCCGGGTACTCATTTCTGTTAGAGGCTGAGTCGATCCCAGAGCCATAGTGCGGCTGGAAGGATTAGGTCAATTGAAAAAAAATCTAGTTATCTCATCGAGAATTGAACCCGCAAAATTCCAGCTTGTAACATAGTGCCTCAACCAACTACGCCACCGCGTGCCCCATTATACGTTCATGGCTTCAGAAAACCACTTTTACAAATGATAAAACAATTCCGTCCAGTGTGACTGTTGAATCTTTTACTACTTCACTGCTTAGCACCTTAACATGTTTCGGTTCCTATAGACCATCATCAGAGGAACATAAATACTTCTAGAAACTACTATTGCATTGGGTGTTTTGATTTTTAAAATACATAAATATACAATATTCGTAATACACACTTTATACAAAATCCAAATTTCTTACAACTACAGCAATTGCCCTTGATGCATTAAAGTTTTTTTTTAAACTTTTTGTTATTTAAGTTAAAATTCTTTAACCGAATAGGTTCGTGTCCCTTGTCCTTTCGTTTCTCTTGAAGGGGCCGAACTTGTGCCGCCTGTCTTTCTTGGGAAGGTAGTTCTTGTTGTCGTCCTATGTTTGTGAGTAGCGTGCTGAGTTGTTTCATCATTTGTAATATTGTTAGTGTGACGGACCAGAATGAAAGAAATCAAAATCTCTTGCATATATCTTGGTTCGTAAGAGAATATTTCTCTTCGATTTGCTCTCACCTTGATTATTTAATTTCTTAAGTCACCCATTGATGAAATAAATCGAATTACAATTTCAATATTCTTCTCTCTATATTTAATTTGGCTTTAATATTTTTAACAAGTTTGTCCAGCCTCATGCTACAGTGATGCTACTTTGTGATTTAAATCGGGTCAGGATGTTGTACCCACATCCTCTGAAATAAGTGGCTGCCATTGTTACTGGACCGCGTTTTATTCTTATTTTCTTAAGCCTTTTTAATTTAGTAACAAAATATCTTTGCTCTAGGTGCAGTATTAATGTACGCTTATGTATATTTTATAATTCGGTTGTCTGTTTTTACTCTTGTTGGCCTAGAACTGAATCATAACAGTGCATCTATTGAAAGCCAACAAAACAGCCTATTCCACGCAATCAGGTACCAAGGTCTCTCTCGTTCGACAAGAGTGACAGCCATTTTCATTTTATTTTGGGAGAGGGAGGAGAATTTTGATAATTTAATTAACAGAAACTGCATCCCTTCCGTTGATACGCAGTAAGTCCTACAATTATGGTTATGCTGTTGACAAACCTTTTCCATCTATTTCAATTTTATAAGTAGAAAAGTGACTTTGTTTCATGTTCTTCTTTAACACATACAGACACGGCTGAGTCCTGTAGGCCTCCGTAACGTTACGGGCTAATATAAGTAGGTTTGCAATATTTTGCTAGGTCTGTCAGATGAACACGATTTATGAAATTATACATAAACTACAGGTTGTGTCGTAATTTTCGCAAGAGCTCTGCGTTGGGACGACTATGCAGAGCTCTGCCCAGAATTCACGTAGGCCTATGTCATTCCGCCTGCCAGTAGCCTATAGGCCTTACTGAACCTTCTTGGCTCACTCTTTTATCTCAATGGATCCGGTTCTGTGTTCTGAAAGTCAAGTGGCCACAGTCTGTTACTTATTATGGTTAAACGATTTGATTGCGTGTCAAATTCCATGTTTTCCATTTGTACATCATAGCCTGTGGCTTCTTGAAACAATAACAAGGTCAAAGTATAGTCTGAAATATGTTTGTTTATCATGTGCTATTTCAGTCGTTCAGAAACTGCGTACGCTAAACTGAAATGCGATTGTTTTTCAGAAATGTGCCTCAGCATTTGGGGAGTACTTGGCAAGAGACGAGCCGCGGACTTGAGTTCATGTCTTCGCGGCTAGGTGAGCCACTCCTGCCGCCAACTGGTCCTCTCTTCCCTCGCGCTAGAATGCCAGCCAGCAGTCGCACTGGCCATGAAGACGTAAGCCTGCAGGCAAGACATGACGTGATGAAGTTACTGTTGAAGACACGTCTGTTCTAACAAGCACATCTCTTATCTCTCGTTTACACAAGGGCAGCCTCCGCGATACGCAGAACAGAGGCGAGTACTCCTACACTCTGATGAGGACGTTGTGACTCACATTTCGCGTCTGTTGCTGGCATCGCCTCTTGATCCATTGATGATGTCGGGAAGTACTTCGTATTAAAGAGTGCCGTGTGAAAGACCAAATGTGAAGGGAGCACAACTGAAATAAGTTAATAAGTGTGAAGTAATACATTTTACATAATTTATTGAAGTGACCTGTTGACGCGAGGGGACGCTATGGATATGACAGCAAGCGAGAACGGGCACCACCATCATCACCACAGGTGGTACGAAACTCCGTCGCGTCTGGGAGTAGTTGATCACCACCAATCATCATCGCCGTCTGCAGCTTCCAACGGCCAGTCTAGCAATATGGGCGCCGGCAGTCTCGACCCTAACAGTCTCTTGGGCGCCACCAGTAGCGGTGCTTCAACCGCGGGCGACCATCAGGCGGATATGACGGCGTCTGCAGTAGCGGAACACATGTCCTCGTTTTTCGCAGCCCATCATCCGGGTCTGGCGGCAGTGGCGGCGGAGGGCACCGGGACGCACCACCACCGTGCGGCTGCACGCTACTACCACCCGCAGATGCACCACTCGCCGTACGCAGCGTCGGCGGCGGCGTCACATGGTGAGTTCTGAGGTTTGGTTCAAAACAGTGGGTACCAAGAGATATTTCAGGACAGTTTGTCATGTCGTATCATCATTATCATCCGCAAGGGTAAAGCCATAATTTCTTGAACTTCCTGGATTACGTTTTCTTGTCGGTGCAGAGTATGAAAATTGGTTTGGAGTTCTGTTTGATGGCAACGTCTGTACATATTTTAGGCAATTTTCCATCCTTTCATGTGTCTGTTCATTTTGTCGGGTCAGAGCTGTAATCTTTCCCATCCCTCAGTTCTGATGTGCAGAATGCTCAAGAGTCGTGGATCTACCGAGACAGCGGAGAGTGTTTTTGTAGCCTGTTGCCTAACCCGAAGTTGCAGAGCAGTTTTTTTCTTTTTATTTTCCTTGGTACTACAGCCCCAGTGGGCCTAGGCCTACCTCCATGAACTTCTCCGTTCACTTCGGTTTTTCTAGATCTTACACATTCGGTAGGACTCCTTGGGCGGGTGATCAGCTCGTCGCAATGCCTCTACCTGTACACAAACAGAGAAAAACGCACACACACACAAACTAAACATCCATGCCCTGAATGGGATTCGAACCCACGATCCCGGTTTCCAAGAGAGCGAAGACAGTACATGCCTTAGACCACTCGGCTTTCGTGACCGGCTGCAGCGCAGTTACTAATGGAAAAATATTAAAAACTGTGTATCATAACGTGGAAGCTTATATTCAGTCTTGGGTTTATTCGCATGCGCCCCTGTAACGTATTCACATGAGCTATCTACTGCGAAGAACGCTCTACCGTTTTGCGATAGAATGTATTCCATTCTCAGTAAATTAGATTGCATCACAGCTTGTGTTACATGTACGGTTGTTTCTTAAATCAATTTTGAATGGTTCTGACAATGGCACATCTCACTTAGGGTTGTTGAATTTTTGGAACGAGCCATTCACACGAGGAACAAAGCAAAAAAATGCGACATTAAGGAGAGTTGCTTCTTAGACTATCAAAACAAAGCCGCAGATATTCGGAGACAACAAGATATAAATATTCAAATGACACCCTAAGGCATTTCGTAAGCGCCTACACAGTTTGATGGAAGCATACATGAGCATAACGGCAAATGGCTGCTAACATGCGTACTATAGGAATGATGATTGTGGGTTCTGGAACACAGTGAGGACATCCACGCTCGGATCTGCGAGTTAGAAATAGTTTACATACAAGTGAGGCTACTTGTCCTAGCACGAATCATGGTATTTCATTTTATGCGTGCTGTCTAGACATGGAAATGATGCCATAGAGGCACCATATTAATAGCTGCCGCGTCTTAGCAAAAGGAGTCAATTCTTGGCGCCGTTCGTAAGCTACTGAGTCGGTTACCTTTCCTGTCAGGCAGTGGTTACTGTGTCATTTTCAGTCAGAGTTAGTGACCAGCATCGGGCCTATCTGCCGATCACACTGGCCGCGCGGTTTAAGGCTCGAACACTGGGGACGTCGGTTCGAATCCCACTTGAGGCATGGTTGTATGTGTGCGTTTATTCTGTGTTTGTGTTCTGTGTGTAGGTAGCGGCCTTGCGACGGGCTGATCCCCCGTCAAATGAGTCCTACCGACAGTGTATAGGGTTAAGAAAGTGAAAAAGCGGACAAGGCCCAATGGCTGTAGAGCCATGGCTAGATAGGACCTACCTCGTAACGGCAAGCTATCTCCATGTTTCAGAGTTATGATGTTCACGTGACACATGTCGTTACGAAAACGGACATAATCTGATATTGAATATAATCGTGAGTACTTGCGGGCCTAAGGCCAAATTCAGCGGGGATCAAATCCCGTTTTGGCAGACCAATTCATTTTATGCAGGTTTTTGGTTGATTGTTCATGAGATTATCATTAAGAAACCGAAACGGACAAGAACAGACGCACTGCCGTTGATTCCAACAAATAAGTATGTGAAATCTGTATTGTTGATAACGGTTTGAAGATAACGTTAGCATTGTTCAGCATATCTGGGCTGCGCGTTAAGCGAAACTTGAAAAGACCAGTGTACCTACTCTTGAAAGTGACTGCGAGATAACAGACAAGGTCAAAATTCTGTGTAAGTTTTTAACAATTCTTTAACGAGCAAAGACCATCCAAGATAACAGTTTCATTTCTCATTTCGAAATATCCACTTAACTTACAAGCATAATAATTGATAATTTTCCCCTCAGAATAGGCCTATGTGATTATTCCAGGCTTGTGTACCGTCACACAAACGTTGGTTTGATTAGTAAATGGTTGAATCCTATATAACAATAAGTCAGCTTATTGTGGAAAACACAGTATATGCTTCAGTCTAACTGACCGTCATCGGGTATGTATAATGGAAAAAAGATCCTTCCAGCCGCAATACGGCCCTGGGGTCGACTAAGCCTCTGACAGAAATGAGTACCAGGAATCTTCCTGGAGGGTAAAGGGCGATCAGCGCGTAAGGCTGACAACCTCACTGCCATCTGTGAGCCGATTTTCTAGAAAATGTGGGACCCTCAACGTCTCACAACCCTATGGGCCTCCACGGCCTATTACAAGAACACATAAAAGTACATATAAAGTAAAGCTATCCCTGTACCAGGCCGTGAAGGCCTATAGGGTTGTAAGATGTTGAGGTTACCACATTATTTAGACAATCGGCTCAAAGATGGCGGTAAAATTGTCAACCTTACGCGCCGGCCGCGCTTTACTCCCCAGGAAAATTATTTAATTAATTCCTGGTACTCATTTATATTAGAGGCTGAGTAAACCCCAAGGCCTAGTGCGACTGGAAGGATTAGGTCAACTGGAAAATATCCAATGACCTCATCGGGACTTGAACCTGCGACCTTCCGGCTTGTAGCATAGCCCATCAACCAACTACGCTACCGCGTGCCCCTTACTTTTTATACATAACATTATATAAGTTTAGAGCGAATCCTTCATATTTGCCAGAAATATTTTATAGATATGTACAGTTCCTCCGTCTGTTTCTCAGTAGGAGAACTGTGTAGGTTTTGCCGAGTCCTGGCTTCTGGTATATGACGCCGGTTAGTCACAGAAGACAGAATTCTGTATAACCACCGCTGCAAGAGCCTCACATCCTACGACAATTTTCTTTCGAAGACATTTCATGGCGTACTGCAACCGAACTGATAGACTTGTCGTGGCCGTCGAAATACGTTCGCTGTCGTCACTGTATATTCCTTGAAGATATACACGGAAACACAAGCTGTCATATTAATTTTATTGGCGAAACCTGAAGCTAGGCAATGGGCCTGACACTGAGTTGCAATTTGCCCATCGGCTCTTCTGCGTAACCCAATTTCGTAGCCAATAATTAATTTGGTCCAGATGATCAAGACTCCACGCGCTCATTTTATTTCTGTCACTTACAAAGACGCCGTACAAATTTCTAAGTCTGATCAGCGCGCATGCATTAAGTTCTTTGAGACCCACACGATTGCAAAAATTACCATATCATTGTGTTGTATAAGTACCACTGGCATGCTGGTACTCCTGTTAACTTCAAATATATAGGCCTGTTTTAGGCCGCGCCATAGCTCAAGCGGTTAGTCGCTGGCTTCCCACTGCGGCGGCCCGGGTTCGATCCTGGGTCTGGTCAAGTGCGATTTGTGGTGGACAAAGTGGCACTGGGGCAGGTTTTCTCCGAGTACTTCGTTTCCCCTGCCAATCTTCATTCCACCAAGTTCTCCATCATAATCACCCGGGACAGGCTACAATAGGCCAATCAGTGGCCGCCGTGCCGAGTGGACCCAGCTGGACTCAACCCTCCACTGTTTTCATTATATTAGATCCCAGGGAGTCAGTTTGAAGGAATGCTGCTTATTATTGCCCTTTGTTGAGCCTTGTCCGCTTTTCAGATTCTTGATCCTACGCACAGTGGGTAGGACTCCTTGGACGGGGGAACAGCCTGTCGCAAGTCCGCTACCTACACACAGAACAACACAAACACAGAATAAACGCACACAGACATCCATACATTAAATGGGATTCGAACCCACGATCCCAGCGTCCGAGGGAGTGAAGACTGTACAGGTTTTAGACCGCGCAGCCACTGAGATCGGCTTGCATATTACCTCTAAAAATACTTTTTTTCTGTGTTGAAATTTCGGAAAAGTTAAATGAAGACAATATTAGATGTTTTCTTGTGTTGTTTTGTCCTGGTAGTGACCTCGCCAAGGCCTTACTCCTTATCTGAAATATATCAATTACTGTAGAATTATTTCTGAATCGCAACAGGCGACAGAGACCCAGATATCAGTTCAAAACCATCGAATTTAAAATCGTGACCGCGCTATCGCTGGTTCTGAAGCCTTGTCCTGGAGCTTCAGTTCGCCGAGACGGATAGTTGCGCAAGATCTGCGAATCCCTTCACATTTGCCTGAAGAATGTGTTTTTGTGCCTTGACCCCTACAGTATAGGCATATTGTTACGCAAGACCATAGAATTAACCTACAGAACTAGTCACAAAACAGCCCTGAACTGATTTTAAAGAATTCTGACAATTGTGTATTTTTATTATTATTATTATTAACATTGCCAACTTTTTGGACTTGTCCATCATGCTATATTCTAAACTAGAATCCATTGTTTCGGAAGCTGTTCTGCTCCCATCCTCAGGTGAAGGGTATGTTAGAGTTAAGCTGACTAGTCTCTGGGCTTGGTTCAAGGGTTTCGGTGTTCCGGCTTGGAACCTCGGGCGAGACACAGAGCCTGGAAAACTGGTAATACCGCACCAATGCAAAACAGTTGGATTTTATTCGTTGATGGCTACTCGGTTGCTTTCTGACGTCAGAACGAGACCTAAATGCAACTGAGGTTATGTAGCGACATATGTAATAGGGTAGTTTGTTTGTGAATGATGAATCAGAGGTATATTATTGTAGATGTAGGGACTCCAAAGGATAATTCAGAATTTCATAGCGAAGGTTATTTTAAAATAACATTTAAAAAACTGTAGCCTACTCATATCTCTTGTAACATAGGT